AGTACATATTCTCCACCTGACTTTCGGTCAATCGAGTTGAGTAGCACCACGGTCGGGAACGTGTGCCACCCGGATTCCGACAGGAACGAAATTTTTCCAAACGATGATCGAGAAAGTGCAACGTCATATTGTTCGTCTCGTTCTCGTACAGCCGAAATCGATACGAGCTTTTGTGCAATTTGATCGCGTTCACATGTGTCCACAATTGACATGGCTGACCAGCGTGTAATTCACAACCGGAGAATGCCCCAGAGTTTTGTTTGTATGTTGAGTTGGTGGGACCGGGGAGGGGAGACGTATAAATGCAACTGTGGAAATTACCATTTGAAAAATGCATCTAAAGAAATATTGATTTTAGTTTGTATCAAGGAATGGGAATCATAAAAAATACGTCACTATTGTATCCACCACTGAGCGCGTAAAATATCCGTAACGAAATTCATAATTGTTTGACAACACAACTTAAGCAGCGAGACTCACTTACATTGATCGTTGAGTACTATCAAGGTTGTATCACGTGATATCAATGACCGTCGGGTTATGAGACATCATATTCAAAACTCAAATTCCCAGCTCCCACGGATGACCGTTATTTCTCGAACACAAATATGTTACAAAACCTTTCTGGGTAAAATACCGCATTTTCCGAATGGAAGTCAAGCGTTTATCTGTCGCGGTTGGGCGCTAGACGTGTACATATATCTATGGAATAACGTGTAAAGTATCCTCAAAATGTAATTCAGTTCGCCAATCGGTGCAGCATATTTTGAAAAATCGTATTTTCTGTTAGAAATTCTGTTCGACAAGTAAGCAAAGTGTAACCAGAATATAAGAGGGAGCGGGGGGGGGGGAACTAAATAAGGATGGTGGCAACCACCAACCATGGAAATGTTGTGCATGCGACCGCAAACACCACTCACCATTCCACTGATTGTTCGTTGTTGATCACCGATGTAATCTTCTCCTTTGCCCTCATAGCACTGCACATCTTGAGCTAAGAGGAGAAATGAGAAAACGAATGAGCTGGAACATAGATTGGTCAAGTAGTAAAGTATTGGTAGTAGAAAAAAAGATTTGAGATAGAACTTTACACGATAATCGTTACAATATGCAACAATAAAATGAAGTCCACTTGATACGCTCTGCCCCGGTTATCTGGTCGTGATTACACCCAGTTGTTGGTGATCAGCGGAATTTCGATGTAAACTCATGCGAGTTAGCTACGTTTGTAAAAGTATTGTGTTAGTGGATAGGGAAGGCAGCATGATAGCCCGCTACCTCATTGAGAAAAGACCGCTCTAGAAGAATCCTTTGGTTACAAAGTCAATACAACAATTTAGGCGATTAGTAGAAAGGTGCGGAATTAACTCATCGATGAAAATCGAAAAATGATGAAAAATAACCGACAGAACTCAGCAAAAGATGTGTTAGATCGTAATTCAAATAAATCAGTAAAAAAGGTGAATAAATAAAGAAAAAACGCCGATAGATAACACTAAACGCATGAAGTTGTCAAGTACCTCGGACTGAAGGGAAAAGCGACCCAGGTGTTCAACGAAATTTCCTCTCAATAAAGAATTTTTATTCAACATTGTAGGATCTGGTTTTTCGCTATCACTCGGCGATTCAACCACCCAAAATGAGCAGATCTGGTACGAGGATGCTGAAACCCCTCAGCGTGTAGAGAAAACAAGCGGATTCTGATTATGACAATGCTAAACTGAAGAAGATGCGTCCATAGAGTGCGAAAGGCTAACCACTCCCTCCCCCCCTTCCCAAGGAAGATGATGAAAATACAAATGGTCACGAAACACATCAACTTTAATTATTCCATGATTAAAACACAACGCTCAGTTATACCTCCAATCCAATTGCGGAGTTTCTCAACTTCGCAAGACAACTGTCTGCAAGGACAGTGTGTAGATAATTCCTTTTTAACAGACCCCAGACATGTTCCATGGAGGAAAATCCGGAGTATAGGCTGGCCAGTTCACTTTCTTGATTTGTACAAAGGACATTGTCGTGTTGGAAATACGTGGTTCCCAACCGGTCTTTTGGATTCATGGGCAGTAGAAACTCGTCCAAGATTTTGAATCAAAATTGACCTGCATGAGTTCCTTCGAAAATTTCCAACTGAGACTTTTCACCCTCAAAAACGGTATCCCAGCAGATGTCAATACCTCATTTACCTTCCACCCTAGACTCGAAGACTCAGGGCTAACTTTCTGTTACACGAGTCATACCAGTAGTCTATTGACGAGGCGGGTCTACGTGCATGAAAAGGTATTTTTCACCGTTCTCAAATGGAAAAGAGTCGTCCTTCATGAGTAGAACCATTTCCAAGTTCACACATAAGGGAACCAGATTGTCATTATGCCGGAGCGTTGTGTTTCGATCACGGAATACAAAAGATTGGTGTGTTCTGCAATACTTGGGTAATGCTTCCGTTTTTCTCTGATCGGATTGGAGGCATTTTGCACCCCAGGTGGACATTATCCGTGATACATCAATTTATCGCATTGTAAATCAAATGCCGGTTGGTTTCTTTATGCGGTAATGAGTTTTATTATTATTATAATTATTATCATCATCAACACACCAGATTTAATTATTGAGTTGGTTGGTTATTGATAAACAGCGGAAAAACAGAGTGGGGGTTAAAATGGCGTTTGGTACAGCATTGGTTGCTACAACACAACATCTGTAGCAAATTTAGTACATACGCAAGTGAAGTACTCGAAATGCTCGAAACTAAGCCAGGGCAAAGCACACATCCTTGAAACACTTCGGAGTCATGATTGGACATGTGAAAAGATACTTTTCAAGTCTAGTTACTTGTGACCTTGTCATAAGTGACGGGTTATCACGCTAGTAACAGTTACAGAGCATTCAGAAATTTCAAGTATTTAGTAAAACATTCAACACAGGATATGTGGAGTCGAATAATGAATATCAGTCAATTAAAGTGAGTCCAATGGTTTTAAATAGTTTGGATGGTGAATGCTTGTCCAATGCTCTTTATGGGTTTTCACAAACGGTTTTAAATAGTCACTGAACGACTTACTGACAAATTAATTGTCGCTGTGAGGTATGTTAGTGCGTGTTCATCATCCTATTCAGTGTTTGCTGACCACCAGACCACTAATACGCAGTGATAGCTTCTTACGATAAAGCTAACGGATTCCACAATTATGATGCATATCCTAAGCTAAGGCACTTCCTATTTGGGTATACTACTCCTCTCTATCATTTCTGTGGTGGAGGAAATCCGATAGAGCTTATCAGAGACGATTTTTGGAGAAACATGTTTCGATCAGGAGTACAATATCGCAATCTTGGCTCCTATTTGCCAACTCGCCCAATTTGTTTCAAATACTGTTCATATGAGTATGTCACAGATCTAGTTTGTTTCCCTGCTAAACGATGTCCCCTACTTAACTTGTCAGTGTCCTCGAGCAAAACACCGCGGGGGCTAAGGACTTTTTTTGACGCAGTGCATGTGTGTTGAGCAGGTATTCGTACCTTCGCGGGAATTCATCCTGTTGGGCTTAGACTTCAATTCGATAATCGTCTCATCGCTTATTGAGCCGCTGTGTTCTTCTGTTTCGTTTGCTGCCGAACCTCGCTTGTGAGTCGGATTTTCCGATCAGTGGATTTCCCAACTTATTATACACCTCTAAGCCTCTGGAATTTAGTAAGTTTCGAAGTTACAATAGGTGTCAGCGTGTGGTCCCTAATTCTATCAAGGAAAGATCATAATGGATTAAGGTTCGTCTTTGACACTACCTATTTTGAATACTCTGCCTTAAGTGTAACTTCAACCAGTATTTTAGCTTCCTTGATTGTCTTTTTAATTACAGCGGACAATGGAGCCGGGTTCTCAGTGTCAATAATAGGGCGGACATTTACCCTATGTACCGGCGGTTGTGCTAGAGTCCTTTGTTGCTGCTTATTGAGCCGCTGTGTTCTTCTGTTTCGTTTGCTGCCGAACCTCGCTTGTGAGTCGGATTTTCCGATCAGTGGATTTCCCAACTTATTATACACCTCTAAGCCTCTGGAATTTAGTAAGTTTCGAAGTTACAATAGGTGTCAGCGTGTGGTCCCTAATTCTATCAAGGAAAGATCATAATGGATTAAGGTTCGTCTTTGACACTACCTATTTTGAATACTCTGCCTTAAGTGTAACTTCAACCAGTATTTTAGCTTCCTTGATTGTCTTTTTAATTACAGCGGACAATGGAGCCGGGTTCTCAGTGTCAATAATAGGGCGGACATTTACCCTATGTACCGGCGGTTGTGCTAGAGTCCTTTGTTGCTTTTGTTTAACACGTAATTCCCCTTTAGCCACCTACTTCTTCAAGTGGTTCGGTCTTGCTGATGTTGTCAAATTTGGCGTCGAACAGACTACCTCAGTGTAACTTAGTTTGTTTTCGTACTGTCGTCGTTGTCGATCTCATTCCTGTTTCATACACCTACATATAGATAAACACACAGGCACACACTGACTGAGTTTCCAATCAAGACGTGTTCTGCTCCCCGATCTTTGTAACACTTTACAACGTGCTTTGTCTGGTTGGTTTCTCACAATCGGCCGTTCGGTCATTTCCAACACAGGTTTTCTGAGCGGATAAAAAGTAGATTTGGTTGTTAGAGCATAGCGTTCTGTTACTCAGCAAGCCAAATAATACCAAAGCCGGAGTACCGTGAGAGAAGGCTTAATGTCTTGATACACAAAATTACAGTAGATGGTTAACGCATAAATCTTGAGCTAAATTTAGTTCACTTGAAACGTATTCTACAGTTCGGGGTTGGACTAAAATAACTTTGCGCACGCACACACGCACGCGCACGCACGCACACACACGTACCACATGTGGGAATGTTACAATACCGGAACGAATTGTTAGGGACAACACACCACGGTCCGTTTATATCCCCGTCCGGATTGCGGCAATAATTCTTTTGCTGTATCGCCTCTTCCGTGGTCCATTTTCGTCGATAGAATTGATGATGTTTACTCCACTCTTCACACGGTGTTCCATCGTAAGCGACATTCACTTTTCCCCTATACGTTCCTGGCTTCTGATCCGCACTCATACATTCTTCCGACTGTTCAGCATGTGTTGGAGTCAGACACAGATTGAGCACAGTGTGACAGTACAACAGTACTGTCACGGAGAAGCAATCCAGTCCGAGCTGCATAGATGGTCTTCTTCTTCTCCGACGACGACGACGATGACCACTGGATGGGTTTTGCGGTTCACGAAATGGATCAATTGGGTTTTGTATGACCGGTCACTTGGAATTGGCACACACACAGGTTGTCAGGTTGGTTGATCGGTGACGAGTATTGGATAGTTAGTGATTTTGTTCATTGGCTAATTTGATTGTAATGTCGGTCGTAGCTGGCCGACGTCCCATTTGAAATTGTAAAATGGACGAACAAAGGTCGTCCAAGCGCCCACTCATAGCTGCGTTTCTAGGACACATATAGGCACCCACCCTCAGCTCCATCATCGCCGAGAAGCTGTGTCCATGACTGTGCACGCACACACACACACACACACACATACACACCTCGAACACCAGGTTTACGATTTAGTGAAATGTTTATAAATACACCGTCTACATCTCTGGCTCGCGAGCCTCAATTCGATTGGATCATATTGCCTGTTATAGCGTGCAAAGATTTGAGTGCATCTATACACGCACACACACAAAGACATACAAAACACACTTACATACGGACACGCGGACACTTATGATTGATCTCCTCGGTTAAACATACGACCAAGTAGTATTCAGTGATTCTATTTCATCGGACAGGACACCGTTTCACGAAGTTGTCCGTATAGCGGGTCGATTGCAATAGGCACACATGTACACACACACACACAGAATCATGCCACTAAATATCCATGCTAGAAAGGTGGTTTATCCAGCCATAGTATGCGTATGACAATCTGTGGGGTACACCTATGTGTGTGTATGTGTGTGCATGCATGAGTGCGTCAGTTCGTGTGGGCCCGAAACCGTAAAATACCACTGCGGATGTGGATTTGTAGGCAAGTGGCTGATAGATCAGGAGATTGGGCCAGACAAACGAGCGAGCGAGAGAGAGCGCGCGCGTGAATATATGAGAACGCTCTCATGCGCAAGAATATCAGCGCCACGATAATGTATGCGGATTGAAAAGGTATTCGCATCCTCGTCCTCCTCATCACTTGACGCTAGTCTGCTGTCATATGTGCGTGTGAGACAGAGAGGGCCAAAGTGTCTGAGTGACCTCGAACGGAAGTAGTAAACGAAGTTTAAAGCACGCACATCTTAATGCTAATCAATCAATATGTGGCAGTGACTTCCTGTCACTCCAGTAATAATAATAATGATAGCAATAATTTTCAACTACTTCGGTCAAACCTTGAATGAAAAACAGCACAGAAAGCCAGATATTCAATTTAGTAGATCCATGATTGAATCATCCTCAGTTTCACCGCGTGGGGGCTGACAGCAGGTGGCCTAGAATGTGTATGGGGGCACCGTTTTCTTCTATGTCTCACCCAGATGTTACGGTCTCGAATCCCGGAGCATAAACAGGCTTGAATACAATTATCACTTGTGAATAGCTCACGTTTCACTTCTCTCCTTATCTGTCTGAATTGAAAAACAGAGGTTTCCATTTCATGTAGCCATGCATTCAACGAGTCCTTATATCCCAGTGGCAAGGGTTTCGACTCATAGCCGAACGTTCACACGTTCAATTCATGGCTACAAGGCACGAGGTTAGTGTAGAGTGCTAATTGGGCTGAACAAGAATAAAGGCAGCTGTTTGGCTCTCTTTTTAACCTTTAAATCTAGAAACTCTTCCGTCACGAATGTATCAGTAAATTCAGGTGGAATCAAGATGAGCTGAGGATACAACTGATTTTTTTCGGAAAAGCATGCACATAAATGCCAACCAATTACTGGCCGATTCTTCAGTGTCCAATCAGCATCAATATGGTCCGTTTGTTACCTCTTCGGCATTCAGCCAATCCGGCTGCATGCACTTGAAACGATAAGATTGGTCGGAATCTCCGTCTTCTGATTGGCTGCATGGAAGTTGTATCGTGGAGTATTCATCTGATCTCGTTGCATGATCACCGCAGTGACCTATCTATTGAAGGTCGCACGATCCGGGTCAAGGCGTTTCAGGATAAAATCAGTTCAATTCAGTTCACTTTTTACAACCATTATATGTGCACTTTCGTGCGCCGGGGTGAGTTGTTGTCTCTTGACTGCGAAATTGGATAGAGGAGTGAACGGAAGATTTGAATGTTCAAGTCGGTGACAGACTGAAAATAAATGATGACTGAAGTTGCCAAGAAATTATGAGGGTGCACAAATGCCACTGTTTAGGCTACTGAGACATGACAATCGGTGTTTTAACCATTGCTTTCATTGATCCCGATGTCCCCATCCAGAAAACCTAAAGCGACCCATGTAAGTAACTCTCCTGGTCAAGGTTTTCATACCCTAGTTCGATCATTATTTACTTTTCCCAAACCATACACCTTGACAAACTACGCGCGCAGTGACATGCGCGATTCATGCCCCAGCCAACGTAATCTATTTTATGAATGATTTCTCAGGATGAATAATGCCAAGCGATACTTACCATTTCTGGGCTATGCAGCGCAGAATTCCAGCATTGGTAACCCACCCGGTCGATCAAATAATTAATGTAATGTTAGGAGCAACTCTACTGCTCAGAGTTTTGCCAAAAATTAAAAAGGAGTGAATACTCGTGGAGTACATTGTCATGCGATGTTGGAGTACAGAGATAATGGAAGTCAATGGATGAACTTCGTTGTCTATATCCCTCAGATATTTATAATTAACGTCTTCAGACATCAAATGGATTGATCTCGACGACCTCAAGGTTTTCCTACCCTTAGGCCAGGTCTTAATTTGACCACTCTTTACTTATTCCATCCATCACCTGCCTCGGCAAGCTACGCGCAGTCCAGATTCTTGCCTGATCGCGTTAAGGACCAAGGGAATGATAAAGGAAAATCAAAGTGGAGCCACTGAACAGTCACGTTTTTTAGTCAGGTACCTTGTCGGTCCGGGTGTTAAAAAACTCGCAAGCACAAATAAAACCACTGAGTCGAACATGCATTGCTCCAAACATCGTCGGTCCCGA